GTGTCTGAATCTTCCTGCTGTATGTAATATGATGGGCGTATAGTTCTGGTAGCATATCTGCCAAATGTATTCCTACAGACATACATGTATAATGGAGGAGCTTCTTTGGGCCTTGAAAGGAGATATGCAAGAACATTTTTTTTTCTCCTTTGATGTGTTCGGTATCAATGGAGTACTTCGAGAATCATTCTACCCAATATAGCAACTGCGGATGTGGTGCTCTTTGTTAGGATGCACGTGTGAGTCGAGTTGTGTTAGAGAAATCCCACATTGGAGAATCGGAGTGGTGTAGAGTAGTTAATATATCCTAGTTAGTCCATAATTCATTGGCTTAAGTTTTCGAGTGAAGGTCGATCCAACATAATATGTTGATAGGCTCGGACTTAGGCTCCCTCTTAGTGATCTCCCTAGGTGAAGGTGTCGCGCCACGCTCTCGCGTGCTAGAATGGAGGTATTTTCCTACACGAGTCTCTCCCAGACCATACCTCATGTGACAGCGGGGTTTATTTGATCTAAATTTAAACTTGGAGTCGCCACTAGTCATTTATGGTAGGTTGACTAGAAATCTAATCGAGGTGCGGGAGAAATACCGCGATCTTACGAACCAGAGATTCTGAATAAGGGACTTGGTTACGTTAACGATCCCAAATTGAGACCATTAACGCCCTTTCGGTACCTAAGAACGATATGACATGTCTAACGTGTCACACGGATGACATGTCTAACGTGCTACACGGATTCCTAAGGTCAATTCACTAATCTAATCATGAACAAACAATTTAGCACCCAAGGATTAAATGCGCGATCAATGGCAAATCAATCATAGCAACCCTAATTTGGCCACTGAAAATGAAAATCAAGCAAAACACCCAAACCCTAACGAAGCTTTAATAGCTTGTTCATTTCATGATTTACACATTTTTAGGGTTTTAGGGTTTTTTAGGATTATAACCCTTAAATTTGGAATTTTCCAAAAATGCCACTTAGGCATTTCCGAAAATTCAAATTTCATTTTTTATGGCTGGCCATGATGATTTTTCAATCATTCTGTGGATTTTCAAAATTTTTTGATTTTTTGATTTTTTTTTTAGTAAAATTTTTAAACCGAGAATTGATTTTTTATGGTTTTCTGAAAATTTTTATGAATTTTCCAATTTTTCAATTTTTTTATTTTTCTGAATTTTCTGAATTTTTTTTCGAATTTTTCCGAATTTTTTAATTTTTTTATGAATTTTCTGAAATTTTTGAATTTTTATGGATTTTTTAATTTTTATCTTTTCTCTTTTTTTGATTTTCTGATTTTCCTAATTTTATTGAGTTTTTTAATATTATTATTCTTTGTTTTTTTTTATTTTCCCGCCGGGAAGTGAATCGGACCGGCCCGGTTCGACCCGGTTCGGCTTGGCCGAACCGGGTGTCGCCGGCGCCGGTCGCCGATCATTGTTTCCGGCGAGCACGGTGCCAAAACGGCACCGTTTTTGGCCCTCTTCATTGGAGCATTTTCACAAATGGGTGGTGTGCATGATTTCCAATTAAAAGTTCTCTAGGCTGCCGGTTCGGACCCACCGTCGACGACCTTCCGGCGACTATTTCGCCGTTCCACTTGCACCATCATCAAGTTCACATGTTCTATTATCAACTTAGTCTATTAGATTGCCGTCCGACGTTCGCCGATGGGCGAAAACCGATCGAAAAAAACCTAAACCATCTCTAACCTAAACAATATTTCCATATTTCAAATCACCATTCAAATCGCCCTAACCGTCTAAATCAGTTCCAATCAGCATCAAATCATCAAACAAAGTGAAAGGGAGCCTACTTGGATAACCTATGGTCACGGCGACACTCCGGCGAGACTTCTGGTTTTCTGGCGAGGAGTTTAATGCACGGCCGACTCGATTTGTGCATTTTTAACCATTCAAAGTACCAACAAATGATGAATATGAAGTCAGAATATGTTTTGAGCATCAATCATCACAAAATCACAAAGAAACACACAAGTTTGAGCTAAAACACATTCTGGAAATTCTGGAAAACCGTGACCGCGAAGAAATTTTACCTGCGTCGTTCGATGGTCAAACAAAATTGTTGAACTGATCTACGCCCCAAGGATTGTTCCCTGACACTTATACTTTCTCCCAGTGGTCTTGGATTCGCTGGAACAGGTCTGGATTGGCCGGACGGGGGTCGGTTTCGGGCGTTCGCGATAAGTTCCGTCCGGTTCAAGCCGTGAGGGGAGGATCACGACCTCTTCACGATTCGCCAGCGCTCCGCCGTATATGGCGGCGCCGGACACTCGTGAGGGGATCCTCAACCCTCTCTCTCTCTCTCTCTAGATTTCGCACTATTTCTCTCCCTCTCTCTCTCTTCTCCCTCTTCGGAATTTTGTCGAACACCTTCCCCCTGTTGCAATGTTTTTTCCTTCTTTTTTCTTCTCGATTTTTCCCGCCCAAAAGTTGTTATTACCGACTTTTTATCGGTTGGGATTATTATCTGTCGCCAGCTGGAGATTCTCCAGCTGGCCGACTCGATAAAAACGTGCTCAAACTCTTGAATTAAGTCGGCAAACATATGGGCACGAGTGGGACTTTTCTGGGTTTAATTGTGTTTCGGACGAATCCGGGTAAAGAAGAAGACTGTTCGGGTCGGGTTGACCCCCCTGACCCAGCAGCTCCGGTTTTGATGAAAATTGCAAATTAAGTCCGATTTTGACCAAATTTTCGAAATTAAATCTCAAAATTAAATTCCCCATCATATTTTGAACCAAAAAATGTGTTTTTTCCCCAATTTTTGACATAATCGTGTCCAGAATTTTCAAAGTTTCATATCCGGGTTATTTGGATTTTGTTCAATTCGATGTCCTAATGACATGATTAGGCAAAATCGATGCTAAAATTAAATTACCCAGGTCTAATTAACCCTAGAAACTATGGTATCATATTTCAACAATTTCAAATTGGACATGATTTGTAATTTTGATTCAAAATTCTTAATTTTCAACTAATTTTCGGGGATTTTTTTATTTCTTTGAAAAATTGTGCAATTGGACCGACCACTGTGTAATTCAAGGTCCCAGAATTATTTGTTGTGAAGACACTATGACTTAAAAATGACTAGAAAAACTTTAATTTCATTTTTGGTTCAATTTTTAATTTTGCCCAATTTTGGGAAAAACATATACCCGATTGATATTTTCCAAAATTGATAATTTATTTATGAAATTGGATTTAAAATAAGACTAATGACTATTTTTATGGAATTTTCTGATTCCATTTGCTATTTTTGTTGATTTTCTCGCCTATTTTCACTAAAAGAAATTAAGGAAAAATGCAGAAAAATGCTAAAAAATTATTTTTTGGTTTAGAAATAGGTTTCTTGGCTTGGCCAAGATTCCTAGACCTAATTTTGAAATTTTTGAAAATATGAAAAAAAAAATGGGCTAAAATTAGGTGTCAACAGAAGGTATTGGACTTCTACTGCGTGCTCCCGATACTGTTTTCTGCTTGAACATCATCTTCTGTAGGAAGGAAAACATATCCATTTCTACAAGGAAATGATGATCAATAAGATGATCTTAAATTTATTTATTTAATTGTTAATAACCAAAATCTCCTTAAACATATAAATGATAATGGATTTTTGCTTGGGAGAACCTTCCAGTTTTGTGCATATAGATTCTACGCTTACCATTTATTTTTTTTCTAGAAGTTAATATCAAGAAAAATTAAGAAATGGCTCGGGCTACAATTGCCTTGAAATCGCACGGCAAATGCTTGTACCTAGCGGGGAACGTCCCTGTGCCTGGGCTGTGCCTAGCCCGACACATAAAGATGCTAGGCTTGGCATGACCAGCTCGTGCCCAGCCTAGCCGACCCAATAGTCGACCCTAGGTAGAATCCTTCCCTAGTAATAACCAAGTAGGGATAGGCATGAGTGGGACAGGCTCGGGGATCGCATTCTATGTCCTTGCCCGGTGATGCTGAGCTTTGCCTCCCCATCACCACATGCCCCAAGCGAAGCGAGGCACGTCCTCAAGGGACACGGAGCGTGCTGCGGGGCACTGTGCCCCATGTGAGGAAAACATTTCTCCAATTTATTTATATTCTATGTGACAAGATATAACTGATTAGAATTTCCAGGATAATTATGATCGATGCTACTTTAAACTTATTCATATTCATAACTAGTTATTGAAAGTATGAGTCTCATCAGCATGAGTCAACTTATTTGTATTAGTTTTTTTTGGTATGTATCACCTTATAACATATACTTTTGTTTTCCTTTGGTTTTATATTAAGAGATGCTAAATTAGAATGAGTTATATGATGTAATAATTTATCTTCTAGGATATTACTTAGTTTTTTTAACAGAAAGAAAAAATAAAAGGTATAGAAAGTTATTCAAAGAATGTTAAGTTAATTAGGAAATGATATTAGATTAAGATAATCATCTATATCAAGTTAACGATCTCTATAATCATGATAGTAGTAATTTTTTATGTAGGAATTACACTACTTTATTACAATAATATAGGGCTAATTCCAAAAAAAAGCACAAATTTTACCTTAAATGACAATTTTGGCCCCGAATTTTTTTGTCTCAATAAAAACTTTTCTAGTACATGATAGTAACTTTTGAAACTTTTCGATTTTAAATGTACTTATTTTATTAATATAGTTTCAAATAATTTTTGGCAAATTATTTTTATGTTACAATAATGATCATATTCTTCTTTAATAAAACAATCATATTAAATAACGCAAGTATATTATAGTTTTATGTAAAACCTAATAGAATCTCCATTCAAATTTATTTGTGCAATTTACAAAAAAAAAAAAGAGATTGGAATCACTATTAAAGTCCCTTCCATCGTACCAAATGAAAATATTATGTTCTCTAACATTTTTTATTTTCGCACTTTTTATTCGTAAACTCCATATCAACTCTTCTATTCTTTCCTTTAAAATGGTGAAAAAGAACGACATCGACATGACACATCAACATGGCCCAACCAATTTATACTCGGACCTAAGTCCCACTCGTGGCATGACAGATGACACAAGTTGCCATGGCATGAAATGGGAAAGATACATCGTACATTAATGTAAAGCAAACTTCAATGGCATGAATAAGTTCTCTCCTTACTTGAAGAGAGAGAGAGAGGGTTAAGGGTCAAGAAACGCCATGAAGATTTTCGGAAAGCAAGTATTCCCGCGGCAAATTGTGCTCTTCGGTTCAGGGTATGCACGCATTCCTTCTTCTTTTTCATTGATCATCTGCTCGTGAATGGTGTTGTTTCTATGCATGACGATGTGTGTGTGTGCGCGGTTGAAGCAGGCTTCTCTTCTTGGCTGCGACCACCTACGATGTCCACAGATCCATCAGGAACAACCAGACTCCCCCTTCGAAGGAACAGCTACAAGCCCTCGAAGACTACCTCAAATCCGTCCGCCGACCCCCTTGAACAAGTTCATCATCAGTTCAGACCCCAACTTTTGATTCCACCGACGATTCACTTTGATGCCGTCGAGTTCAGGTGGGGTTTGAGTTCTCGCGGAATTCGCACCTGAGAGTTTTTGGCAGTTCTGGGAGATCCCTTTTGGCTTTGTTTGGTTCTGGTTTGTCGCGATGCACACTGTCGCCGCTAAACCCATTTTCAGCCACATGAAGAAGTGGGTGATTCACCTTGTGTATCGTAGTACCCTTTGGCTCAAATAAAAGAAGGGGTAAGGAAAGACGACGGACATTGCTCCAGATTGAGGACCAACTCTCGATTTTTCCTTTTTTTGGTTGTTAAATCGTATGTATAAAGTGAATTAAACATATATGATGCCTTTTTATGTAAATGAGGTCTGTATACAAATGAAGTTGGTTTCTGGAGTAACTTTCAGATTGATTCAATTAGGACGAATTTGCTCTTGGGCATCCTAAGAGTTGGTGAATGTCATGTGTTGGATAATCTTTGTCCACAGTCTGTTACGTTCATCTGGTTTTCAATTATCTTAGTGTTTGAAAGTTTATGTAAAGGGTTTCGGCCAAACCCAAGATAGGAGGGGCTTTTTGCTGTGCAAGCTGCAACATGTGCAGTAGTTTGTCCGGAGTCTATTAAGTTAAAAAGATGGAATCGTCTTCGCCGGTTCACCCTCCTCAGCTGCAAAATGCAGGTGCAGGAAGGCAAGTAATCCAATGAAAATCGCGATTTTTTTATTGGCATCGTATTCTGGTTTTGATCCAAATGTTCCACAGAATGGTTTTTGACAGAATCAGGTGGCAAATATCTGATACAGAACAGAAGCGACCATCGAAAAAGCAATTTTTTTCTTGACGTCTATCGAACCGAATATGAATACAAAGCTGCAGAATTTATTGGAACTCTTGAGATCGCCCTTGGTTGTGAACCTGATACGGCATTTACAAGCAGGGGCCTCTAGCTACCGAAGAAGGACGATTACACCAGATACCTGAGCTAGATCAGATACAAACTAGGGTTACAATCTCCGAATGTTCCCAAGATCATGAGTCTATTAACAGAAGGTATCAATAGAAGCGCACAGAACATTTATGTTTCCTAGCTCGCCCTAATCCGAGAGGCAAGTCGTCTCGCAAATTCAGTATCAAATGAACGGTCTAGCTCCTTTATCTTTGATAAGTACTCCATGGCTTCTTTATGTTTCCCCATTTTGCAAAAGCCATCCACAACAATTTTGAAGGTCAGCTCATTAGGCCGGCAATTATGCTGAATCATATAGCTGATGACATCATCAACTTCCGCAAACATTCTCCTCCCCATATAGCCCGCTACGAAGGTGTTGTACGTAAAAATACATGGCCTAATACCTCTTGTGGTCATTTCAGAGAGAATCCTGATGGCGTCCTGCATTAACCCTGTTCGGCAAAATCCCTTGATGACAGTGTTATAAGAAACGAGGTCAGGTCTCCCACCAGATTTTTGTAGTCGTTTCAGGATTTCTTCTGCTCTCCAGCATTCTCCACCTCGAGCATACATATCCATCAAGCTATTGTAGGTCACAAGATCTGGTTCCAACCCACTTTCCCGTATCAAGTGCAGCATCTCATTCGCACGTTCATGCATGTTGTTTTTGGCATACATTGAAAGCATTGAGTTGAACACAACCAAGTCAGGCTTGTATCCACCATTTTGCAACTTCTCAAAAGCTCTCTCCATGCCAGCTAGTGCTCTACATTTGAAATTTGCGAGGACAAGGGTTCTCAAGAGCACCCAGCTGGGAAAAATACGGCCTGCATATATTTCTTTTTCTATTTCCTCTATGCCCTTCACTTTTCCACTTTTCGCATAACAGTGGAGTATCAACGAGTAAGAGGTTTCATTCGGCCTGAAGCCCTTTTTCTTCATGTCTAAAATGACCAACTCTGCTGCACGCCAATCCCCTCTTTGAGCTAGAGCATTCAGTAGAGAGTTGTAAGTGGTAACATACGGGGTAAACCCTGCTTTAATCATCTCCTCATACATCTTTGTTGCATCAATTTCTGATCCACACCGGCCATATGCACTGATTAAAGTGTTAAATGTGTCTCTATCAGGTTCAAATCCACAACTTTTCATTTCACGGAAGATGCGGTTCACATACTTATGCATACCCTTGTTGCCACACATGGCAAGCATAGTATTCCATGTTATACGGTTAGGAGAACACCCATTTGTCTTCATGTCGCATAGTATCTTTATCATCTCCTCCGATCGAGACTTTTTGCCCAACATCGCAAGGATGGCATTATATGTACACACATTAGGAACACAACCCATTTCCTTCATCTTGTTAAACAAATTCAAAGCCTTATCCTCCTTTCCCGCTTTCCCATAGGCATTTATGACCGTAGTATAGGTAATAGCATTTGGCATTACACCTTTACCAATCATACCGTCTATAACAGCAGCCCCTTCCTCGCAGAAACCTGCCCTCACGTATGCTGCCACGAGCTCATTGTAAGTGACAGAATCCGGCGGGCAACCGCTCTCCTCCATTTCTTTCAAAATGCTCAAGGCCTCAGAGTAAATTCCAGCTTTTCCAAAGACTTGCAGCAACGCATTATAAGTAACCGTTCCTGGTACATAGCCCTGTAACTTCAGTCCAGTGAAGAAGCTTTTGGCTTGCTCCAACAAACCCTCTCTGCCACAAGCTGATATCACAGTGCTGCATGTGAACTCATCAAATTCAAGTCCCTTGCCTCTCATCTCATCCAAGAGGTCCATAATTTTCGACCACGAGCGGCCCATCCTCCCATACACATCAAGCATCACATTGTAAGTCACCAAAGTAGGAGAAAGTCCCAAGCCCTTCATATTCTCAAACAACGCAATGGCTCGTTCATACTTGCCGGTCCTAGAATACGCGTGAAGGATAGTCGTGTAGGCTCTAACATCAAGCGAGTACTCCTCGATGGGAATTAAATCAAACAGCTTGGATGCGACAGAATGCTGGGACTCTCTCCCCAGAATCCTCGCCATAAGTTCAACAATCTGATTATCAAGCTGCACATTTTCATCACTCAAGTTGCGAACAACCCATTCAAACAGAGAAACCGCTCTCGCCCAATTGCCCGACAAATCTAGCGCTCTCAACAAACTTATCAGATCAACACCGAGCAAGTCCGACTTGGAAGAATCAAACAAACCGTTCAAACTATGCATGGGCTGATCCACAATCAAACCGAACACCAACTTACACTTCCCGGACAAGAATTCACACGACACATCATCCGATTGGTCCTTTTCTCCGGAGCCAACCAAATGCAGGGGCAAAACCGAGGTGGGTCTCCTCGGAGGAGCGTCTCGGAGCAGCTGTTCTTGCGCAGCAGCATCGAGGGCGACGTGAAGGGAAGACGCGAGGGCAGAGTTCGGCCGGGGAGGGGTGACGGGTTTGGGCGCGATGGGGGGCTGCGAGGAGAGGTGGAGGAGGTGCTGGATGAGAGTGTCGAACGGGAACGAGGGCGGCGGGGACGGGGATTGAGGCGGGAGCGGAAGCGTCGCGGAGTTGAACTTCAATGGTGAATTCGGGACTGCCGGCCTGCTGGTCGGGACTGGGTACACCGGCCGGTTTGGAAAGAGAGTTCCTTCCATCTTGGGGGCACACACACCACACACAAAGAGAGGGAGCGCGCGAAGCAGAGTGCTACGGACTGGGTAATCTCGGAGACGAGAGCAAGGATTCGAGGACCAAAGCCATGGAGGATGAGAGCAGGAGATGTGCAAGGTTTCAATTTGAGCGCCCTTCTGCTTCTGCGCAAGCAAAAGGAGAGAGAGAGAGAGAGCGCGGGGGCCAATCTTGGATGACTGGTGGCGGTGATTCACAAGGTGAATGGAGAGAGGATGGGCTGCGATTGACTTTGTGATTTACACACGAGGGAAAGGCATGCGCTTGAAAAGCTTTGTACATTATATATACGAAAATCAAGGACAAACTGCTCGAAAATGGTGAATGATATGATAGCTTTTGATTAAAGAACGCGTCGCAGTTAAACAAATCGAATCCTTACCGTATAAATAAAGGTTAATACCATGAAAAACATCAAATTAATATTTCGTGATAAATTTACCTCGAACTGATTTTTTGATTATCAAAAACTCTAAACTGGTACACTTGTGACTTACCATAAACTAATTTTTTTGATCATAAAAAAGCTCAAACTTGGTGTATTTGTGACAAATTTATTATGCGTTAGTTTCCGTTAAATTGGATTAAAATACCACGAATAACCACAAACTCGTACACTTGTGATAAAAAGAGGGTAAAACCCTAAACTGATACCCGTCAATTGTCATATGTTATCAAACTCAACAATTTGACGATAAAATTAATGAAAACTAACGGAGAGCAAATTTATCAAAGGCGTACCCAATTTTGGATTTTTGGTAGTCAAAAAATGAGTTTTTGGTAAATTTGTCACAGGCGTACCAATTTGAGGTTTTTGGTAGTATTAACCCTATAAATAATACATGTTAGAGACATCTATATTGTGTCAAATCGTAGTAATACATGCTACTTTTTAGTTAAAATCTCGGGTTAACACCACGAAAAGCTTCAAACTGATACATATATGACAAATTTATCCCAAAGTAATTTTTTGACTACCAAAAATCCCAAACCGGTACACTTGATAAATTTGACAGTTAACGAGCTACTAATTTGGGGTTTTACCCTCCGTTTGTTACAGATATAACAATTTGTGATTTTTTGTAGTATTAATTCAATTTAACAGAAACTAACGAAGTATAAATTTGTCACAAATGCACAAGTTTTGATGGTCAAAAATTAGTTTTTGGTAAATTTTTCATAGATCTATCGGGATTTTTGTAATAAAAAAATTAATTTTGGATAAATTTGTCATAAATTTATCAATTTGGAGTTTTTTTTTATGGAATTAACCCTAAAATCTCTAAGTTGATAAAAAGACATAATTTTTATTTTCACTTGTGTCTGTGATCTTTTTATCAAAATTGGAAAAGGAAATTTCATATATTTTTAAAATAATGCTGAGAAGATATTGTTATGAGGTTGCACTACATTTCGAAGGTAAATGCATCGTCTTCAGCATCAAAACAGTCATTATGATAATTAAAATATAATAATTCGGAAGAAAGAAAATGGGGAATTTTCAATATATTTCAATATATCATTTTGAAGAGTACATCAATATATTTATGTGCTTTATGAGAAACTATCAAAAACAATATATTAATCAAGATACGCATAATCAAATGAGATATTGCGGAATCTTGAGAGATACACAAAAAAAATATTTTAATTATCTCTACTATAGGAAAATATCCTAATTTTCCCTAACAATGACAAACATCCTTCTAAGGCACGAAGATTTTATATTCATGTTGCCTCCACCAGAGGAATTGTTGTTAGGTTCGTTCCTGTTCATGATTGATTACTATTATATTATTTTTTTGCCACTAGGCCACTAATGATTATATAAATATAATTTTTTTTTGTTTTAAAGAACTAATTGAATATCAATGTAGAAAAAGTCAAACATAAAGCACCAAATGAAGTAAACAATTATAACCTATGATTACAAATTTTTATAAGATCAAAATCTATAGTTAAAAGCGAAAAAAAAACACCTAATTCAAAAAACTTAACCACAATATGTCAACCCTAAATCTATAATCCATCTTGGATTATATGACCCTAAATCTACAATTATATATATAAGTAATTTTTTTGGCCAATTCGTAATGTATTTTTTGGATAAATACCACAAAAAACCCCAAAGTATATCCATTGTGATATAAACATTCACCCAAAAAAGGTACATGCTCGGCTAGTGTGGTCGTGAAGGCGCGGCCAGGGGCGAGGTGGCCTTCACTTGATGTGGGCGAGGCCTTCGTAGCTGGCAAGGGTGGCCAGTAAAAAAGGCAAAAGAAAAAGGAAAAAAAATAAAAAAATTTATTTCTTTGACAAAATAATTAGAAAAATTAGAAAATTATCCACGTCAATACCCGCAAAGTCAAGAAGGACGATCGGCGTCAACGTCGGATGGCACTCAACTGATTGATTTTTTTAATTTGTAACACTCAAATAAGCGAAAAAAATAATAATTACGATCGTCACGTGAGCGTCATATAAATGTTACGATACTCCATTCATGACGGAGAAATCAATCGAAAATAAGATATTTTCGGTTTTTCGTGCAAGAGAAGTGACGTACCCGTCTGGCCAAAGGAGCAAGAGTAAGAGGTGACGCCCCGGTTTCTTGAACGGTTCCTACCTGGACCCCCATGCGAAGACAAAACGAGTTCAGTGAACCAAAAACGTGCACGAACTCTGCAACAGTTCGTTTTCTCAGAAGCAAGTATACCCACGCACTCCACTTTCCCATTCGTCAGTAGATTCAGTACCAACCTCCACACGCCCCCAGCAAGAGAAGCAAATGCGGTAAACCCAGAAGAAGGAAAAACGCAAAAAGGAAAGAAGCCCGGGATTTCAAGCTCCATATAGACGGTACCCTTTGTTGGGCTTGCGGTGATAGCGAAGGAAGAGCCCCCCCTGGGTCCGTTTCTTGCTCTGCATTTGCCGCCGCGCGAGGGTCTCGCGCTTTCTTGAAGAGAGCAGGGTGGAAAAAAATGGAGTCTTTGGTTCTCCGTTCGTTTCCTACGCCGCCTGTGCTGTCCGCGGGTATGTGTTTTCGGTCCGATTTCGCGGGCGTGTCGTGATTTTGATCGTGTCTGCTGATTGTGCTTTGGCTTTCTCGAATGCCCGGTTAGTTTGACTGGAAGAAGTTCACAGCTTTTTTTTGTGGGTTATGGTCGCTTTTCTGTGTTGGACCACGATCTTGGATTTCGTCTGAAAGCGGTGTGTTTTTTCTGTGGCAACCATTTTCGAGAGTACTAAGTGGGACTCTTCTTTTAATTTCTTCTGCTGATTATGAGCTGCTTCAGAGTACTTTGTCTGATTTGTTTTGTTGATTAATGTAGGCAGGAAAAATTGGAGAGGCGACTACTCCACGAAGTTCTGCTTTCCTAGTATGACTAACTGATCTCAGTATATAATTTGTTGTTTTTCTTCCTCCTTTATAATTGTTCCCCACATGTGTAAGAAGTCTCGGTTTCTTTGTTTATTACCTAGTCTACTTCAAATTGGTTGATGTTCTAGGTAAAAAGATACAAAAGAATTTTGATTTAATCTGCTTGATTTATTAGTGTGTAGCTTGTAAGTTAGTCTTGGTGAACATCCGCGTTGGGTGTTTTGACCCCAGTGTCTGCTAGTAGCTACTTGATTAGTTAAAATAATTGGTTGATATATCTAGTGCCCGAAAAAGAGGAAGAAAAAAGAAGAATCTGATCGACATATTCTTGGTACTTTTGAAATAAAGTTAGTGCTCGGGTTAGGATCTCAAGCAAGCATGTTTACACGCCTTTTGGCAATTTAACCATGTTAAAAATTTTCATCTTTCTGAGCGTGTTGTGTCATAAATTGCGCTTGGCGTTAGTTCATGCAAATGGTTCCTGCTTCAACTTTTCAGAACTTCATGGAATTTCATTTTTCAGTTTTAGACCCTCTGTCCCTAATGTTACTTTTTGGAACTGCAATTTCTCGTGTAGCACAAGTTTCAGGGAGCAGAGAAAGGGACATCCTTGGAGGAGACTATATTAGATGTCATGTCACGAATATTAAGGAAAAACTTGCCCTTTCCCAGAAAAGGAATAGGGAGTGGATTGTGAATGCAGCCTCTGGACAACCACTTGAGTCTGGACCTGGATCATTTAATTCTGGTCATAACTGGGATTCTGTAAAACATTCTGTTGACGCTTTTTATCGGTTCTCTCGTCCTCACACAGTCATTGGCACAGTTAAGTGCTTGTTTAGTTAAATGGTCAACTATGGCCAGTTTACTCCAATTGGATAAAGCTGTGAATTTTCTGTGATTGACTAACATCACTTGTTTTGAGCAGGCATTGAGCATAATATCAGTTTCTCTGCTTGCGGTTCAGAAATTATCGGATATTTCTCCCTTATTTTTCACAGGAGTGCTGGAGGTGAAGATTAAACATCATGATAACTCTGCATAGTTCATTGTCATCCTGAGAATTAGTCAACTTACAGCTTTGATGTCTGCAAATTTTCAGGCCGTTATTGCTGCCCTCTTCATGAATATTTACATTGTGGGATTAAACCAGATTTCTGACATTGACATAGACAAGGTGTGTTACCGTAGGCAGCTTATTATCATCTTGCATTTCTCTGGAATTCAGTGAAGTTCTTCAATTGAAATAGTATTAGTGGTGGGTTTTATTTGTTTATTTATTTTGACCATTGGACAGTTTGAATTAATTGCACTGAGATTTCCTCAGAAAATCATAGATTAAGCTAGTTTTGTGTCCTGCTGGCTTTTTAGTCTGTATTACCTACTGGATGCTGACCCTTACTTCTATCAAGCAATGAGCACATGACTTTGATGCGGATAAGTTGAAAATACATGATGGGTCCACCACTAGTACTATTCCAATTGAAGCACTGAGATGCTCACCCATCCAGCCATGATCACATGACTTCAATGAGAAGAAGTCAAAAAGTACATTATTTGTCGTTTTTATTGGACACATTCTGTTATAGTCAAGTGCACATAGACTGAGCACCTATGATGACTCTCTTGATGCAATTCCTCTACTGAACTTCATGGAGATATGTGCTAATGTTTTCGTAGCTCGCTTGATTGGTAATGTCATGCTTGTCTCTTGCAGGTCAACAAGCCGTATCTTCCGCTTGCATCAGGAGAGTACACAGTTGGAACTGGTGTCATGATTGTTACATCTTTTTCCATTATGGTATCAGAACTTAACCCTTAGTCTTCTTTATCCAAAAAATACATACCTCTGCTTCTTGTAAAGTTGTGTGCATGAGCAGAAATTTCTGCTTGTATGATGATAAATACCAGCCATTGATTTTTGGGAGAAAATTCAACTAGTTGTCCGGTGCACATTATTGCCGGGTTATTCCTTTTAACCTTTTCACATTTTATCCCTGCTGGAAATGTTATTAAGTAATAAAATTAATTTAGAAGAGGTTTCCTTCGAGAGTATTATACAAGACTACTTGTTTTATCTGTGAGTGATACCAAAATGTAGCAAGCTATTTGCTTCTCAAGTACACTAATTGGAAAGCATGAAAAGATTAGTGCTGCTTCTAAGGTATGGTCCTGAAAAATTTGCGATGGCAATCTTGCTTCGAAGTTTTTTATCATATCTTCTTGCAGTGCATTGTCTCTGCTTCTTGATGTTTATTTGTTTGAGGAGTTCATTCTTGAAAATCTGTGGTGCATGTCTGATTTGTCAAAGCTAGAGAATGCGCTCCTTTGTTCTGTTCAATCACCTAATTATCAACTTTCCTTTGATTCTAGACTTATGAAGATTTCTCTTGATATTTCAATTAACTAATTCTGCAATTATCATTCTTTTGTTGTCAGAGTTTTTGGCTTGGATGGATTGTTGGTTCATGGCCGTTGTTTTGGGCTCTATTTATCAGTTTTTTGCTTGGAACGGCTTATTCTATCAATGTAAGTACTCATGTCACTTTAACTCTTGCCTAGCCCTGGAGGAAGTGTGTTCTTTCTTCATCACCTTCTTCAAGAGAATGTTTACTTGAACTGGTCTGTAAGTTTTTAAACATGGTTATACGAGGGAATGGTTTTGTGGAATTGAGACTTATGTGGTTGTCACATTCCTCTTGGTGGTTAGAACCATCAGCATGCTCTTATATTAGTGTTCATTGATTCTATATGTCATACTTTACAAAAGATTTTGCCAGACATTTGTGTTGCTTCGAAGTTCTTTCTGCATTTTTCTTACTTCTAACAAGCTTTATTATCTTCACTAAGATGCTTCATTTTGAAGAAGCTAGTGCACGAATACCGACTTACCGGGAAGAATTAAAGTTGTGATAATTACAATTTTGGAGAGACATGTTCCCTTAGAGATCCTCTTTGTATGTGAAGGTTCATTGTGAAACCTATCATCCTTACAAGATCTGGCATCATCCTCACCCAAGTTGGATGCATCATTCTTTACCATAGTCGCTACTTGCTACACATTCTAATCAGGAACCTTGACCAAAACAAAACAGTTTGCTTTAGTAAGATATTACAACCTCAAAATCCTTTTTATGCTCTTGACATCTTCTAAACTTTGTTGGGTAATTCCATCATTGATTTCATCTCAAAAGCTTTCATGCTCGCGATCCTTTAATAGGGTAATTCTCACAGGATACAGTTCGTACTTCTGTTGTAGCAGATAGACATCACATCATTACTCATCGTTCACTTTTGCATGATTTATCAGAATGTAAATAATTCCTGCATTAACAATATAAGCATAAGCAATCATCATACTTTTGATTGTAGAAATAGGTCATGAATCTACTGGAAGTGTGAATTTACGTAAATGAACTTTCTCTTTTTAAGCACTAGACAAAGCGAAAAGAGTTTCATTGTAGACATATCTGGATCCTTCTAAGACGGACTTATATCCCAAATTTTTCAAGGATTAGCTTATAAATGGATAGTCTTGGTAAAGTTTATTGAAATAGCACCAGTACTCACAACACTCTTATTATATACTTATTAAACATCTCCAATTTGATGGTAAAAGGATTACCAGATTAGTTAAATAAACAGCCCTTAGCTATGAGACAACCTGTTTCCAATGACATCTTATGTCAGAAAAAAGTTTGCTGTTATCTTGCATTTACTTTTTGTTTAATGCTAGCAAAAACTGGTTATCGAATTTATTATTAATATGGTGTCCAAGATGCAATTTCCTTCATATCCTGTTTATCAAATTTTTGTCACTTTTGTCTGTATTAGCTGATAAAAAAGTTGTCATTAGTTACTATGTAGCTGCATGATTGAGTCCATATTTGATTTGCTTACTAAATTGTAAGTTGTAATGTTCCAGTTACCCATGTTGAGATGGAAGAGATCTGCTGTTGTTGCGGCAATGTGTATTCTAGCTGTCCGGGCGGTGATTGTTCAGCTGGCGTTTTTTCTGCACATGCAGGTTTCTCTGGATTCTGGACAAACTTGTTGAGGAATTCTCATATGTGGAAGTTATCATTTCTCTGTTCTTTTTTCTTTGTGCACTTAAATAACTAATTCAATTGGACAGTGGATGAAGAAACTTAAATTGAGGGCACTAGATAAATTGTTGTGCAATATTTTGGTTTGCACTGACCACCTAGCGGCACGGAATTGAGAAGGGCCTTTTCTGTTTTATCCTTTCGAAACTTCAGAAATTGACGAAGATTAAATAACTTTGTGAAGAATTTTTACCTTGCTCTTGTTTACTATACCTGTTTTTGCATGTGATACATTAACAATTGAAATCATTCTTCTGAGGGACGGCTGCCTTTTATTTTTTTGTTGATGTTAGTAGCAGTAATTTCATGGATGTTTGGAAGTGTATCATGAATTCATGTTGTCTGCAGTTGTTGCTGTTTACTTATGCTACAAATGTCAGTTTTGATTCTTATGACCTGTCACACTTTTTGGGTATTGATACTAATGACATGTTTTATCTTTAGACCCATGTGTACAAAAGACCACCAGTCTTCTCGAGGCCACTAATTTTTGCAACTGCATTTATGAGCTTCTTCTCTGTGGTTATCGCATTATTTAAGGTGACAGAAACATCCTTACCAAACAATTTGGTCCCGACCAGTCAGCTTGACACTTGAAGATTTACCTTTTTGTTCACCCTCCAGTTTGTGTTTGTGTTTGTGTAGGACATACCTGATATTGACGGAGACAAGATATTTGGTATCCGATCATTCACCGTTCGTTTGGGTCAAGAGCGGGTTGGTAGTTTTTTATACAAAGTGCGACCATCCTGCAGCAGCTCTCTTTTAAGTTCTTTCTTTAACTTTGTATTTCAATCTTGGCAGGTATTCTGGATATGCATATCACTGCTTGAAATGGCTTATGGTGTGGCCATTCTTGTTGGATCAGTCTCTTCGTGTCTATGGAGTAAAGTCCTTACGGTAATAAGTTCAGTCTGTTCAAATTGTAGATGAAATATGGATGTGTAAAAATACCAGGATAGTTTCAACTTTCAGCTACCTTCTCTTAAATGGCCTCCTAAGTTCATTTCCCATGCTATAATTATGTTAGCGGCCAAACAGTATTGACATCTTTCAGAAGTCCCACCACTCCTGATCTAATGAACTTTTGGATCTTGAAACTAGCAACGCTAGAGGGACTTTAATGTTGAGATTCGCCTACTTTACAATGGATATGAAGCTAATTTGACCGCTATGAATTTCGGATCAGGTCCTTGGTCATGTTCTGTTGGGCTCTCTGTTATGGAGTCGTGCCAAGTCTATTGATCTGAGGAGCAAAGCTTCAATAACATCATTCTACATGTTCATTTGGAAGGTAATCACCGAACCTCATTCGACGGTACTTGAATGTTTCCCAACTGTTCTGGTCCATTTACGGTTATTGCTTCTGAGAACATAGTAGCTAAATAATCCCAGCATGTTACATAAGGCAAATATTGTGTAACTGTTCGATCTTCCGCAATTTTTTCGATTCCTCTGGGTAAATAGCCTGATATTGGTTCTAAATCAATAACATCTTCACCATCTTAGAGTAAGGATGAGCCGAAGAACATCATGCATTGATGGGTGGTGAGGTCCCATATTGACTATCGTGAGGTCTTTTCTGGTAGTTGTTACATTCATAGGTTATTCCTCGAGCCATTCTTTTGTAAGGGACGAGCTCGCACCTCTTTCGTCATAGCGATTTCATTTTTCCCATACCTATCTGTATTGTTATTGTCACGATATCTTTTCTGGGTGTTCTCTCATCCTCAACAAGCTTTGCATATTTTCTCCGATATTGCTCTTGCTGCACTGGGATTGTCTCAATATCTACTACTTCCTAACTGCTCCAATCTCTGATGTTCTTGTGGTTGTGTAGCTATTTTATGCCGAGTACTTGCTTATCCCGCTGGTGAGGTGAGCGACTCCCGTGGCGGCGACTTTCTAAACGATGTAGTTTGAGCTTAAGAAACGTCACGAGTCAGGAACGCTGGAAATCTCTCGCTGCTTGTTGTATCTCGGTCACTGATGCTAAGATCACTGCAATCTCTGACGACCTGCGACCGGTTAGCTCGATACGATTGTGGGTTTCTTTCATGTACGTTGGCAGACACTTTTAGGTAATAATTTTGTAAACAAAATGCCGCGATCCAGTAATTGTAAGCTAGGTAAATGGGAACATTTGGGTTTGGTCCTTCTTAATACCGGTACAGGTTACTTTGATATGAGTGAGTGTGCCAAGTTTATGTTAGATTGTCAATATTGGAGGATGAAAACTTTTGGTAGACACTTCAGATAATAACTTTGTAGAAAAACGCCTGCTATCATAAATTCATCCCTTGTCTTGATGTTGGGTAGATTACTTTGTTGTTATTTTAACTATTTTTAAGGTTCCGTTTTTTTTTACGGAAAGATGAATGATTTAGAAAATATTTTTCTAAAAATAATTATTTGTATCGTTTGAAATAGTTAGTTGACGAAATTTTTTTTTATTAATGACAATAATTAATGTCTAAATATTTTCTTGGACGGCGAAAAAATATTTTTCGTTTATTTATTTTGCTTGTTGATAGAAGTGATTATTTTCGGTAAAATGTATTCTGAATCATTCATTTTTCGCGGAACAAAAGTACCGTTAGCATTTCTCTCCTTTGCCATCACTTTACCATGGCATATTGGCTGATTGGCCCCTTGTTCGGTGACGGTCGAGCTTGTTGAATTGGTCGCTTGTGCTCTCTTGGTCGACCGTCTTTCTCCTTCTTTAACTTCCCTTTCCCCTATTTTCATGCTAAATTTTCGACCAAATGACTAAAGTTTCCCGAATCATCACATATAATATAGGGGGCACAAGAATCAGGATCTTTGTTGCATCGCCATAAGAGATTCGAAAACATAGAGTTCAATTTAATTAAATTTGAATTATGACGATGCAACAAAATCCGAAAATAGTTTAATTTATCTCGATCTATCCACTTGCGAAAATTATATTTGAATGACTATAGCTAAAATCGGTTATTTCAGAAATAAAAGCTGGCAGAATCAATTACTTTGGGAAAAAAAAGTTCTTTGCGACAATTTCCTTTAATTTCATGCTATTGGAGGAGAACTTGGAGGAAAATGAATGCATCTCTTTTCTAGTTAATTTTGGATCCATTTTTAACTAAATAATATTTTATTTACTATTAATATATAAACATGGCATGGTCGTATATATTAGAAAGTAAATGTAGTTTTTTCTTGGAAATGTCATCGAGAAATGAACTGATTGCTTTTAATTTCTTGTAGAGAAAAAGTATGTATTGCTTTTGGTGGTCTTAATGAGTTGAATTTTAATTTGGCTAATTGAAAGGACTGCCTAACGCAATAAACAAATATTGTCAGCATTTAGCCATGTCTGAAAATTTAACACCACAAAAAACTCCAAATTGGTACATCTGTGACAAATTTACCCGAACTAATTTTTTTATCACCAAAAACTCCAAACTGGTACATCTATGACAAAATCCCTCCGAACTAATTTTTTGACTACAAAAAATTCCGAACCGGTACACTTGTAACAAATTTACCATCCATTAAATTGGATTAATACCACGAAAAATCACAAATTGGTAAATTTGTGACAAATGGAGGGGTAAAACTCCAAACTAGTACATCCGTTAACTGTCACGTGTCATCCAACTCAGTAATTTAACGGTAAAATTTAACGGAAGCTAACGGAGGGTAAATTTGTCACAGGTATACCGGTTTAGGGTTTTTCGTGGTATTAACCCTATATTTTTTGGGTAGCCAAACGTTACTTTTGCTTAAGTACCGCTTAAATTAAATAATATAATAACCACAAAAAAAAATTTATGAACGTGGACCATCAATTAATTCATGAGACTAAAAACCTTGAAGATGATGATCGGAATCATATGGAATTTGTGTTTAGCGGGCCGCATTAATGTCATCTTAGAGGCCTGTGATTACGATAAATCACCATCTTTGAGTTGCATTAGAAAATATGAGCCGTGGTGGACCAGTGGTATCTATCTGCCCTCAAACCGAATTGCTAGTCCCATGGTACTAAGGTAAAAGAAGACATGATCGATGCGGGCTTGGGTCGGGCCGGGTCGAGTCGAGTGGTGGGCATAAAAGTTCTCGCCCCGACGAGATTGTGGTTAAAAGATTATTGATTTTAATTTTCATTAATGACTGGGCCTGGATGGGCTTCATTGGTCCTGAATGGTTTACTAGGCCCAAGAAGGAATATGCTTGTTCAAACCTGCCCAAATTGGGATTCAAGCCTCGATGTGCATGGGTGGACTTGACCAAGTCTAAGGCTTCTTTGAGACTTCCTTTGTTTCGCGAAAAATGAATGATTTGAAAATATTTCCCTAAAAATGATCTTTTGTATCGTTTGCAAAAAAGAATGAACACAAAATATTATTATCACCCATGAAAATGTTTAGATGTAAGTTGCTGTCAATTAATGATAACTTTCATTGATAAATTATTTCAAGCGATATAAGCGATCATTTTTAGGAAAATATTGTCTAAATTATTCAGTTTTTTGCAAAATAAACAGAGCCTAAGTGGGTGGGCCTATACCAAAGAAGGACGCGTGTTTAAGTCCACTCGAATTGTATTTTGGGTTTGGTGAGCTAAGGCGGGCTTGGCGGGCTGCTAGTCCCATGATCATGTGTATATAATCGGGTGTATAAAAGAAGGGAAGAAAAAGGGGAAATTATCCAAAAAATCCTAAGCCAATTGTACAGCAACCAATTCAATCCTAAATATTTTAATTGTGTTAATTTAGTCCTAAATATTTTTTATGATTTGTTAATTTAGTCTTAAACCTTTTAATAATTTGCCAATGTAGTCCTTTGACAATTTTCGATCAAACTTACCTGGAAGGACTAGATTGGCAAACCGTTAAAATATTTACAATTAAATTGGCAAATTATCAAAATGTTTAAGACTAAATTGGCACAACGGAAATATTTAAAACTAAATTAACCTCCGTACAATAGGTTTATGACTGAATTGACACAATTGAAAGGTTTTGTATTGAATTGACCGCCTTACAATAGGTTTACTGGCTTCACAGAGATACATGAGAGCCCTTCACAGATTATTTCGATAAGTACATCTAGACACTTCCTCAATCAATCCACTTAGGGATTTAGATAATCCAAATTCTGAACTTATGTCTCAGGAGGATCCCAAATCACTTTGAAAAGAGCCATCAGAGATTCCGAAATCTATAGTTACGTTTTATTAGATTTGAAATTCATTGATCATGATACACAAACATCCGATTTTTTTTTTCTGTTTCTAAAAAGTGTTTTTATATGAAAAAAAGATATTAGAATGACTATAGGTAAAATTGGTTATTTTAGAAATAATAGCTAGCATAATAATCAACTGCTTTAGGAAAAATGAAAAATCATTTTCAATAGTTTCTCTTAGATTCCATGCTATTGGAGGAACTTGTGGAGGTAAATAAACGAACTCTATATAATTTTGTGATCCATTTTTAACTAATTAAAAATTTGCTTACTATTAATAAATAAGTAATGGCATTGTCGTATATATTAGAAAATAAGTATAGTTTTAGCGAGTTGATTTTTATTTTGGCTAATAGAAAGAACTGCCTAACGCAACAAACAAATGTGATTACCACTTAGTCATGTCTAACATTCTTTGTAATAAATAATTTTGTAAAAATATTAATATATTTTGGAGTAGCCAGGCGTTTACTTTTGCTAAATAATTATTTAAAAAATGAATATAATTTAAAAAAAAAGGTTTTTTTGGACATGGACTATCAACTAATGCATGAGACTACAAACCTCGAAGATGAAGATCGCAATTATACCTTGATCAATGACGTTATTTCACACGTGCTAACTCTCTCTCTCTCTCTCAACCCACAAAGGGATAATGATACAAACAGTCCCTAAACTTTGGCTCAATGTGTAATTTGGTTTATGAACTTTTAATTTATTCAATGTAATCCTTGAACTTTAGGCTAATGTTCAATGTGGTCCTTAAACTTTTATTTTGTTCAATGTCATTCCTGAACTTTAGATACATGTTCAATTAAGTCCTTGAACTATATGAAAATGTTCAATGTAATCCCTGAACTTGAATTAATAGAAATGATTGCATTGAACATTTTTATATAGTTTAGGGACTGAATTGAATATGTACCAAAAGTTCAGAGATGACATTGAACAAATTAAAAGTTCAGGGATCACATTGAACATTAGCCTAAAGTTTAGGAACTATATTGAATAAATTAAAAGTTCAGGAACCAAATTACGCATTGGGCCAAAGTTCATGACTGTTTGTGCCATTTTCCCGCCCACAAAAGTTAAACTAATATTATTGATATTATCTCACGAAAGGTACTGTGGGCCCCCAAATTTAAAATTCATTGGACTCGTTCCTGTCTACACTTGTTAAAAATTGTCGATGGGAAGGGTAAGGTTTTGGGAAAGTTGTCCCAAAAGTCCTAAGTTTATTGTACCTAGGTCAATTTAGTCTTAAACTTTTTAATTTGACCAATTTAGTCATAAATCTTTGGATGATTTTTTAATGGAGTCCTTCCAACCCATTTTAGCTAGAAATTGTTAGTGTGGCTGCCGGCCATCCTATATGGCACGGTCGGCGCTGATATTGATGATTTTTGCAATTTTTTAATAATTCTTTATTCTTTTCTTTCTGGAAGGACCGTCGGGTTCTCAAAAGCAAAGAAAAGGATAAAAATAAATAAAAAATTCAGAAAAGTTTTTTAAAGAATTGCAAAAAATATCCACGTTGGTGCCGGCCTTATCCACATAGGACATGTGACGGCCATGTCAATGATTTCCGGCAAAAATTGGCCGTAAGGATTACATTGGAAAATTGCTAATATGTTTAGAACTAAACTAGCTAGATTAAAAAGTTTATGACTGAGTGACCGCCTATAATAAGTTTATGACTTTTTGGATAAATTTCCTGATTTCCTGTGTGAACGCGGGAGTGCCATCCACGTGAAAGGAAATCCACGGTCCCATGATTGTAGGCGGCTCCCAAATAGAAAGTCAGCAAATTGGTGGAAGCCTTCGAGCAGTTACTGCTGTCATCATTTGGCCAATTTGCTTCATTTGACTTTGATCTTCTCTTGATCAAGAAGCAAATTTAATGGTCCAAAAATCACGTGAGAAGGAAAGAGAAGAGGCAACGTTGCGATTTCCTTGCATCAGGTTGATTTGACCACGGAAGTGCATCCCGCCGCGGCGTGAAGAGGCAATTTTCGATTGAAAGTTCATGCAATTCGACACGGACATGTGTCTACTTTATCTTATTTTCACTGCGCCCGATCAAATTC